AGAAAAACCTATAATGATGGAGGACAAATCTATTCTTGTACAACTATACTAGCTCCTAAGTATAAGATGTCTCTTTACAACAATGCAAACTGAAAACCAAGTTGGAAGGAGGTGTATAAAAGAAATTTCTCTCAACTTTATCAAGATAAGTATAATTCTAATGCAACCTGTATAGAATTAGCACAGCCTGTAGAGCTTCTAAATAAAAATGATCTTATATTAACAATTAGAAGCAACAAGTATTAGAAAAGAGAGAGAAGCAATCAGAGACCAGGTAAGATTGCTAGGTATTTTCATGAAGATAGTATTTACAATTGTAGTGATAATTGTAGTAATCCTACTAATCAAGATTTAGAGGTTGTTGCAAAGGCAGAGCTACTTTAGTACTAGAGGTAAAAGCAAAACAAATTCCCTGGGCTAGCAAGAATGACAAGGGATATACTTGCAGTGCCTGCAGCAGGTGTTAGTGTTGAGCAATTATTCAACATTGCTTGTAACATTTGTATATACTACAGAGCACAGCTTAGACCAGAAATAATCCATGATCTTATGCTATTGTACTACTATGAGGTTACTCAAAAGAAAGCTAATAAGATTGTTGAGAGTCAAGATCATATAGATAAGATTGAAGAAGAAAAGCAACAGCAATCTGAACTGAGGCAGGCTCTTGAACAGTCATTTATAAGTGATGATGAAATGAGTAATGAGGATTGTAAAAACAATATTGCTTTGCAGAATTGCAATGATTGTAATACTAATGTTGATGATCCAATATTATTTGCAACTCCCACTCACTCATGGCCTACTTTTTTGTCTCAATCACTATCTATATTTATTCTAAAGTTAACAAGATTAGTTAAAAGTTTTCAACCTTTGCAACAAAGGAAACCTCTAAACCATTTACATCATTGATAAATTTTGAAAATAAGTTTATTCCTACACATTTTATTCATCATACACTCTATATTACCTTCTTTACCTCACCCTTCTCTTACTTTACTCTCATGTTTGTTTTACTTTACTCTCACTCTGCTCTTACTTTTTACTAACATGCATTTAACAATAGAGTAAAACTACTTTCCAAATTTTTGCAACCTCTACTAGCACTCAAGATGATACTTAGTAAGTAAATCTAGCTACATATATAAAGAGTTTACTACTAATTACTGAGGGATCACTACAAAGATTACTACAATTGAGCTACACTATAATAGTATCATTTTTTCACACTAGCATTTTCAATTTGTCTTGTAAGGAAACATTTCCTAGTTTTACTAGCAGCCTCTTGTACTAATGGTTCACTACAAAGATTACCCAAATATAATAACACTTAAAAAAGTCTGAGAATGGACCAAAAAAACCAAGAAAGCTGCAAAGGTAGCAAAAGATTCAAATACTAGTTTACCTAAACACAAGGTGAAAGGCAATACCATTGCCCTGGGCAAGGCATGAGAAGATATGGAAATTGTAGATGGAAGCACTCTAGAAATAGGAACTCTGCACACTGTGTTAGCCATCAGTCAATATGCATACATTGTATGTTTATTTATTTAAAGGCAAAGGGTCATGATTGTTCAAGAATAAAATGATTCATATCATTTGATATCTTTATTACCATCTATAATTTATACAATTGTAGTTGTAATAAGTGATTCTATATTTGCCAACTTATAATTTAATTACTTAGCCAATATAATCTATATTATTAGCTTGTAAATAAGCATTAGTGCTAGTTGTAGTAATATTTGTAGCAATCCTTATATTTGTTTATAACTCTAAGTAGTTAGATCAGGTTTTTATGTAGGGTTGACTCAACCCTAGACCACTCATGGGTATAACTTGGGTCACATGGGTTGAATAGGTATCAAAATGGCAACCCAGGCCCATGAGTTAGGTTGTTAAAACACTATCCAAACCTGACCCTGGTGGAGGGCCAGGTTGGGGGCCTGGTGGACTATCCTTACTCATTCTGCAGTCTAAATAGTATGATGACAATCTTATTATTTACTTTATCTACCTGATCTAAATTGTTACATTATCCTATATTGCTCCTATTACTAAATAATATTGTAAAACACTATATTACTAGGTAAAAACCCTTAATGTACTAACAGAAAACTATCTAGAAAGATACAATCTAATACTTATCCATAGGTATTATCATAATAGTTATGCTTTAAGCATTTTTCTCTTTTTATTAAATTTATTTAATATAAATATTTTATCATTTGTTTATTAATGCTATATTATTAATTAAGCTTGAAGTTCTACAATTTACTTTTTAAGTATCATAATTACTATTATAGCTATTCTAGTAGTAGTTGTTTTTAAGTTACTAAATATAATGAAATATTTTTACTTGATCTATATTTTGTTTTAATATTAAATAGTTTTTCTATTATAATAATATTTATAGATAGATATTAGATAATATCTTTTTAAATAAATTTCTATTAATATTTTTAAAAAATTTTTATCTAATAATATAGTATTCTATAATATTATTTAATAATAAAAACAGTAGATAAAATAGTAATTAAAATCAAGTAATATAAGTAAATAAATATAATTATTATTAAACTAATATTTAAATATTAAAAATTAAATAACTAATAATATATTAAATAACTAATATAAATTAATATTAAAAACTATATAAAATAAATTTAACTATATAAAAAATTATTTTTCTTATATAAACAATTTATTCTAGTAGTTTTGTTTAGTAATTAGTATTAATTAGCTATTATTAGTACTAACTTTTACTAATTACAATAGATTATTTATTTTACTAAAATTTTTACTTTTATATTTTATTATTATATAACTTTTCTTTTTACATACTATATTCATGATTATTTGTTTTTTTATCCTTGTAACCTTTATTATAATTATTTTATAGTATTTAATAAAATTTAATATTTTTATAAAATTTTTAAAATTTTTAATTAAATATAAATAATTTAATCTAAATTATTAAATATAAAACTATATAATGAAATTATTTTCAATTATTTTGAATAGAATTTAATCAATTATTAAATCAATATAAATTAATATTATTTTTAATATTTTAAAATAATTTAAAAATTTATACTATCTGTATGTAAGTAGTTTTAAAAATCTTATTACTATTATATTTATTTAAAAAATTATTTTTTAAGCTAATATATAAAACTATTATAATACTAATAATAATTATAATTTTAAAATTATATAAGCTAAAGTTTATTTAAAAAAGCTCTATAAAAAATTTTTACTAGTAAATATTTAAATATAATCTAAATATTAAATTATCTAGTATATAGTAAATTTTATAAATACTATAATAAATATAATTAATAATTTTTTGAAAAATCTTACTATTTATAATAAAAAATCTCTAATCTCCAGCTATACTCTATTATAATAACTATAGTTAATAAAATTATAATTATTTATATTTAAGTCAAGCATGATAATTATAATAAACAATCTATTAATATTACTTTTAAAAACTGTTTTTTTAAAAAAATTAATATATAAACATATAGAAATAGAAATTAAAAATATTATTTAAATAAAAGATATTATAACAAAAATTTAAAATTTATTATAATTTAATTTTAAATTATTTAATATAATATAATTTAATTTAATTTAATTTAATTTAATTTAAAATATTTTAAAAAAAAAAGTAAAAAATATAATTTAACAGTTAAATTTTTATTTAAAACCAATTTATTTTATAAATTAATATAATTTTAAAATTTAATATTATACTATTAAATTAAAAGAATGTTTTTTTGAGTATTTTCAAATAAAAAATATATATAAGAAAAAAATTATAAAAAAAATTTTTTTTTATCCACAATTAAATTTTATATATTTAGATACTTTTAATATTTATATATTTAACAATAATAAAAAATACATTGCTGCACTAGAGGTGAATGTCTCATCTAATTAGTCAGGTAGAGATGCCTCTCTGCAAGGTATCACCACTTCTATGCAAGGGTTCTGTAGCCTGCTGCAAGGTGTAAATGATGAAGTAGGCCTGGATGCATGCATCATGTCATGAAACAGTCCCCTGTGGCCCCCCTAACCCCCCCCCCCGCCCAGGGGCTCCAGGGCCAAAATCCCGAAACCCGTGAGGTTTGATACATGAATGATGCTCACTAATTACAGTTAAAGCTTTTAGTATTATAGTTAAGAATTGTGGTTAAGAATCTATATTTTAACCTATCTAGCTCAATTTTTATGCTATATGCTTTGGGGTTGATATATTTCCAACATAGAATACATAGGTTTATTATAAAAATCATCTTTATTTTAGTCAAATTTAGGGAGGGAAGGAGGGAGAAAGCAAAGCTTTAACAGACTGAATTTTAATTCTTATACTATTTATACCATACATACCATACGTACCATACCATACGTACCATACCATACGTACCATACCATACGTACCATACCATACGTACTGTATCAGTAACCCTCTACCCTCGATATAAAAAAATACTCCAAAGTCCACCACCCCCATGAAACATAGGATGTCACAAAACAGAAGGCCTTGCATCAATTAATTGATCCTTGCGTTGGGTAACGTTGGGTAATGAAACCCTTACATGCAGCTCAATTATATAAGGAGTCAAGATGGCCCTGGAATCTCAATTCTTTCAACATCACCGTGCTATGACTACTATGCTATGACTACTATGCTATGACTACTATGCTATGAAAACAAGCTTCCCCGGCGAGGCCGTGGAGAATGCTAAGAGTCCAGACTAACCCTTCAGACTAACCTCTCAATAGGGACCATCCGATCGCCGGACTAGAAGCTCCCAGCGGCCAGCGGCCAGCGCCCAGGAATCGCCCGTTCAACTTGTTTTTAATATAATAAATTTTTTAATTTAAATTCTTTTTATCTTTTTATAAGTTTCTTGAAAAATGTTTTATTTTTTAATTTTTTTAATTAAAAAATAATTAATGATAATTATGAAATTAGAATAGTTCTTTTAAGAGTGGAGTTAATTATCTTAAAACGTATCTATATATCAATCTTAGGTACATTTATCCAGGAAATCCTCCTAATAATACACAAACTTCAAGTATATTTACTTTTATGTATACAGACTGTTGGTCTTCAAAATTGTACAATATAGATTCAGTCGCTGTTCCGAATCAATGATACAAGGCTGTGTGAAAGGCTACTAATCTTCCGACGCCTAAGATTAAGTGCCTACTGATCCACCACCTCTACGCTTTGGGTTACCGCGACCAGGGCGCTTTTTGGGTGCTGTCCGTTTTGCGGTATCACCGCCCTCGATGAATTTGAGAAGCTCGTCGATGTTTCTAGAATCGAGGGTGCTGGAAGCCTGGATATCCTGGCCAATGGCTGGTGAAATGATTTGCCCGACCTGTGGCTGGGGCCGGGTGCCCATGGTCACTCGAGGCGTGGCGTTTACTCGTCGCAGTCTCCTAGCCTGGAGATCTTTGGCGTGCTTTGCCACAGAGACAGCATTTTGGGTCAACTGCTCCAACCAGCTCTCAGCTTCCTTGGTGTTCTTATCCTCTGGGCCGAGTTGGGTAAGGAAAACGTTGTATGCCTCGCGCATGCGATTCACAGCGCTCTTCGAGTCCTGATCGAGTGCCAAAGCTTGCGCCAGTTGGAACAATAGGGTCGCTGTATTGATGGACTGTCTCCCAGAGAGTTCCTCACTGATGGCCAAGGAGGCTTCAAACCATAGCCTGGAGTCGTGGTACTGCTTGAGATGTTGCAACATGACAGCTGCGTTGTTGATGGTAGTGATGGAATCCGGATGTTTGATACCATATGTAACCTTCCAGAGCTCTAGTGCATGTCGTACGTAAACGAGTGCGGCGTTTGTGTTAGCATTCGCATGCTCGAAAAGACCGAGATTCAAATAGCCGAGAATAGTCTCAGCAGAATCAATGCCAAGCGTCCGCTCGGAGACTATCACACTCTTCCGTGCCAGCTCCAAAGCGGCACTTTTTTCATCTAGGCTGTAGTACAACATGGACAGTTGATAGTACACTCTGGCAACTTCGGGATGCAGAATGCCATAGATCTGCTCATGAAGAGACAGAGATTCAAGAATCAGCTCTTGACCAAGCTCCTTTTGGTTCTGCGCGAGTGAAATACGCCCAGCTTCTAGAGCCTCCTCTGCGAGTGAACTCTGAAAATTGTTAGCATGGTCTTGCAAACCCATTGTATTCATCACTTACTCTTGGGGACGCATCTTTGACGATAGGAGCGATATTGAGTATGTTCTCGGCACCAAAAGTGGAAATTGGAGGCTTCGCGGAGACATTTGCCACCGTAGACCCCCGAGTAACCGCCTTTTTCTTCCTTTTGTTGCTCCCGTTGGAGGTACCATTGGAGAGAAGCGAATCAGACGATCCATTCAAGGTTGGCAGCTCTGATTTCACGCATTCGATCTCTCCCATATTCTTGAAACAATACTCTTTAGCCTCCAACTGGAGCCCCAGCTTCAAGGAAACCTCACGAAGGAGTTGTAGATGCTTCATCCTCGAGGTCCAGTTGACGGATTTCAAGTCATATCTGAACCTCATGCAGACCTGACCCTCAACCTCTTTCTGTAGGCTTCCTGGAGTCACCTTCTCGAATGCAAAGTCCCCTTCAGGATACAACGCTCGCAATGACTCGTCGATTTCCGGAACTGGATTGCTGTTCAATTTGGAGCCGAGGAAACAGTTGAGGAGATGTGCGATACAAGGAGCAGCGAATGGCCCTGGTAGATATCGGAGATAACGATTGGCAATGTGTTTGAACGCTCGGGAAGTCATCTCTTGAATCGCCAGTGACTCGAGAGCCTCGAGCCGTGGCCCATGGAGCCGTGCAAGGATTGCAATTTCGCCAAGGTAACGGATATTTATTCCTCGCTTGTGAAGCAATCGAGTCAGAGACTGCCCATCCATTGGAAAACCTGTATCACCATCCTTAAGATGTTGGACCTGCAGAAGCAGTCAGTAAATAATCCTGAACACCATCACTCGATGGTGGTACGTACCAGCGCAGGTAAAACATCTGTAGTGAGATATTTGCAAGCCGCCCTGACCTCGGCTTCATCCTTCGCCCATTCAGCTTTCTCTTCCGGAGTCTGTGGTACCTGACCACTGAATACGTCCGGGTTCAAACCAAGTTGGAACTTTGACAGATCAATGCGGTCAAGAGCTTCGTTCGAGTTGCCAGAGGCTTGGTCTTGATGCTCATTTGTGCCGTTCTCATTTTCCTCAGTAAACGCTGAGGGCTCTGATGAAGACTTTTCTGAAATCCTCTCCTTCGGCGTACTTTCATCGGGCTCCTCATTTTTGCCATCTCGCCGATGGTCTACTTCGGTCCGTACAAAGTCCCTCATCCTCGCCCTCCAGTAGGATTCGACCAATTCCGGCCGCAAAACCGCCATTCGATGAGGATAAGGCGTCTGCTGTCCATTTTGCGCCACGTTTTGGTTTTCAGCATCTCGCTGACCTTCCAACCAGGAAACGTCCAAAGGTGTGATCCGGTATAGGTCTAACACATACTTTCGCCCATCAGTGCCCAAGAGACCCTTGGTCTCCACGCTCGCTTCGAGCTCATGTCGTGTTCCTTCTTTGTCCCAGACAGCGTGCTTTTTGGCCCGAAACGCCTTTGAGACCTTCTCAAAGAGTGGCGCAAAGCCTTCATTCTCCGCGACAACATCTTTTCCTTCCACACCGCCATAGTCAATTTGGTGCTCCCCAGGTTCTCGTTGCTTGAATATTCCTGGGACAATGCTCTGACCAACTAGACGCTTTCCTAGGTAATCTACCACTACAGTCCCAGGTGTAAACAAGCCAGGAATGTCGAGTTGATTAACAGCCTTTACTCCCAAGACGTCTTTTCCTGTCGCTACCCTGGCAGCCTCATCCCCGCCCTCATTCGCAAACGTTCCAACGCCATCCGCTCCAAAGCTGAAAAATACGTTGTTGTATACGAAAATCTGCGCATCCCTTTCCTCCGTTGGATTGAGCGGTGCTACTTCCCCTTTAGCAACCAATACAGCACCCCTGGCAGCTGCGTCGTTGAAATCAGCGTACAGTTTACATGCCAGTCGCTCTCTGAAGACACGATCTTGGACTGTTTCTCTGGGCAACTCTCGGGTTGACTGGAACTCCTCATTCCAATCTCTGAGGGTCTCAGAGGTCTCAACACCGGAGATGAGATAGTTTTCCTGGGTACGTGCCAGATCTGCCTGGTGGCTTGAAATAGATGAGTTTGCCAAAGGGACTACCCAAGGATTTGCAGGTATCGCATTTGTTAATTGAAAAGTGCTAAGAGGGTCTTTTTGGTTATTATACTCTTGGAGACGCGCAAAGGATTCGTTAAATGACGGAGAGAGAGCAGCGAGCAGCGAGAGAAGAGAGTGTGCTTTGTGGCTTTTCGGCAAAGCTTTGGGAAAGGGATCGAATTTGTTGTTTGAGGACTTGTTAACGAAAAATCCGGATACGTGCGACGTAATGTGGTACTGTTCGCCTTCATTTGTAGTTATTTGAAGGTAGAGAAGATGGCCTTTCTGGCGAAGGTAGTAGGGGGGTGGGTTCCAGGATGACAGATAAATAGCCTTCAAAGTTCTCGGTGCCGGTTCTCGGACGGCGGGTATGAGTGTCTTCAAAGATCCGGGGCTATCGAGATCATAATTGACCATTGGATGAGCCTCCTTAGAAAGGGTATTTTTCCCGTCGCTATTCTGCGTTATCTCTCCGGCGTTGATCTCATCATGGAGGGACAAGCCAGCAGAAATTCCATGCAGAGTGTCCACTCGACTTCCAGCAGCGCCTACGAGCTCCCTTATCCGCACGATATGAATTCGGGCCTCCTTTTCTGTATAGGGATCTTCGACGAGATGCAGTTCTGAACCAGGCGAGAGGCCAGGAACTTCAGACAATTCAATAAAATCATTAATGCGCTCACCATTGTGCTCCAAATGGAAACAAGAATATTGAAAAGTACTGGGCGAGTCGATCAATGATTGTCGCACATCTTGTACTTGTTCCTGCGCCGACACCTATTGACCATTAGGCTTTTGCTTCCTGGCTTTCGACGTTGTCTCTGGACGTACCATAATATCCGTCTTATGGGGTGCATGTGGTAACCGAACAGTCAATTGAAACACACCTATTCTATGATTGATATCATTGAAATATCTTGAGGGCAACCACACCCGATTATTGGGGGATCAAACATACTGTCAACTGGCTGACCTTCGGTCGGCTCTTGGCTTTGCGAATCAAAGGCATTGGCATCCGACAGAGCATCCACAGAGTCCTGGGTTATGCCTTCGTGTAACTCGGGAGCTTCTAGCCAAGCCGATTAGCCTCCTTGTACCCTCGTGGGTTGGAGTGATGGCCGACTTACCGGGAGAAGCCATGACTAGATATAGTTCTAAAAGCCTGTAAAAAGCAATTGTCTGTTGTTTTGGTTTTCGGGAAAGCTCTGACAGATATTGCTAGTCAGGCTGAGTCCAAAATACTCGGACAATATGACGAGAGCCTTCGTTGGAAGGCAATTCAAAGAAGGTTATACAGGATGTTGAGGACGACGGTACCTTTGTCCGAGAAACCTCAAGAAGTTTTGAGCTCAGGAGGGCCCGAAGACCAAGTTAGAGCCGGGAGCCGTCTATTCCTTCAAATTGATTGGCGGCTGAGCTGCTTAGCCCGAGGACCCAGACGACGCGAAAAATTCATTGACTGTCAGGGTACAGACGTACCTCCATATCTCCGCAGATCGCTACAACCGTCCTAGGGGCAGGAGAAAAATACTAGAGTTACTAATTGAGCGACCATCGATTTGTACATTAGACGGAATTTTTAATGATTTCATTTGTACAGCACCTGCTGCAAATCTGAAACTAAAAATTCGATGGCATTGCTAATGAGTACTACACACCTTGAAAAATTGATAATTTGCCGAACAAATTTCTCGCCGCTGGCCTTCTAAAAGTAACAGAATATTTTGAACCAGGTCGAGGTATCAATGGAACCGAATTTCATGACTTGCGAAAATATGCCATTTGTCAACTGAGCCCAAAACAGAACCAAATGCAATCTAACATTAATATACATCCCTCGCAATCAATACAGTGAAGGTCGGCCTATGGTTAGAGCAGGGACCAGAACCTAGGCGCTATCATCCTTCTTGGCCGCATCGAAAACACCCACTTTGTTGACGTTCCCTTTCGCGTCTCGCACAGTGAGGTTATAGCCACCACCATCCAAGAGGTCCTTGAGGACTATTTCTCGGGTTCTGCCCAAACTTTCGATGTCAGAAATGCGATCTAACGTTGCCTCAAGGTGATAGGCGAAGTCCTCCTCGGAACAGATATCTCGGAACGCCCGCTGCATTGGTACTGAATCAGCTCTAACCATCGCTCTCGAGTCAATGGTAAAAATATTAATATGGTCATAGCTTTCAATGAAATCGGCCCTGGTCATTATTTGACGTGCTTCATGCAATGGAATTTCCGGTAATATGATCCCCCTTTCTTCGTCATGTGAGCGACCCATGGTCTTTTCCTTGTCGACCAGAGCCTTAGCTAGAACCATGGCTGCAGACTTTTCTTGAGATTAGAATGAAGCCTAATGATGTTGATTTCTAGCGGGCACCAAAACTGACCGAGTATTTTTGTTCATCCATGACATCGTCATCCATCTCTGCACCTAAGATCCAGCATTTATTCAGGAACCATGTTTTCTCCACTTGACAGATCTCATCACACGTTCGTAGCATATCGGGAGATTTCGCAGCGCGATTGAGATAAGTCAGTCTGCCACCAACCTTAGAATACACTTGCTCGAGAATGCTTGAATCCGTGAGCTCCTTGAAGTATTTCCTGCGATACTCCCGTAATGCTGTTAAAGCCTGAGACTTTGGTAAGTCCAAGATAGGGAGTACCTCCATTCGAGTAGCGTACTGCTTCAAGCGCTCGTATACCCAGTAGTCGTCACTGTTGAGGACAACAGTAACGAGGTTGCTTGCAGCCCATTGCTCTGCCCTTTGCTGAATAAGTTCGAGAAGGTCACGACCATCCTCGTCATTTCTTAGTAGATGAGTACTATTTATGATCAGCACAAGAGGCCGACCAGTCCTCTTGCGCCTTCGCAGCGCGACTTTCTCCAATTTGTTGAATGCTCTTTCAATGTCGAGCAAAGCAGTAGTGTCCCTGGGACCTCTAATGCTAAAAAGCGATCCTATGTAGTCCTCATGAAATTCGAAGTCGAGAGCCTTTCCCAGTCGTATCCGAAAGATTTCTAGATCTGCATGAGCTTCAAACATGGAGACTCCATCGCCAGCCACTTTTTGCATGGCAGCAATAAGCATAGACGATTTCCCGGTTCCCTTCTCCCCTATTAATAGGTGGTAATGACCACGATATGTCCCACTAACGATAGCGTCGATTTTTTTTTGTTCCTCGCGTACAATCCAATGTTCCGCGTCATCTGGTCGACCCATTGCTATGGAAGGGACTTGCCTTCCAGCAGCAGCTAGCTCCAACACAGGATCTCCAGGCTCGAAGGCTCGTTGCACCTTTTGGAGCACCAAGTATTTGTAGTATTTATGATAGGCATATCCTGCCAGGCTGTCGTAAGAGATTCGTATTAGATTATCGTTTCTGTTTTCCATCCTGAGAAGCTGGGAAAGGGGAAGAACATAGCATATGGCGCACCCAAGAACAGCAAGAGAAGCAAAGGTTGTTGCAGCATTTTCAAACATTTTGGACAACGTTTGATTCCAATTATTCTTTTTATGTGACGAACTCTCTCCGGATTCTCGACGTTCATTTCCTGTAGCAATTGAAATATTAGATTAATTCGGGAGGGAACTTATGTAGACTCATCATTTTACCGTCTTGGCCTACTACAGCAGAGCCTCCGCCATAAGATCCGGACTGCGTTGCTGGCTCTCGAGCATTTGAAAATTGGCGATGTAAAAAGCGAGGTCCTTCATCGGATTTGAAAATGTATGACGTTTGCCTGCCTGCGAAGGTTTGCTTTCGGGTCAATGGGCATTTCACAAGATATACCGACGATCGCAAGAGAACAGTCGCTGGGAACACGATTGCCATTGCGAAGAAATCAATGTCCAACCATGTCTACTTCTAGTGGCATCAATAAACAAGTGACTGTCAAAGCTCCACAACCTGTGCAGAAGCTTGCTCAAAGATACTCCTAGCTTTAACGGAAGAGTTAGGTAGCTAGGTCCCGTAGGTAATCCAGTAAGGAAGAGAGACCAATCAATTAACCTGTTCAGCTATCCACCACAACTCGACCTTGGTACGCCTCCATAGATGGGAAAACAATGAGATCAATATACAAATCGCATGCGAGCGACAACACGAATCGCTCCCTCTCCTAGCACGCGACAGGAGGGACCTACTACCGAGTACGTAGCGAGTGTCATGGGGTAAATACTCGTACCTTACTATGGTATATGGGTGAAATTTCGTTAAAGAAATACTTGAGATTATTATTAGTAAGCTAAACCGAAATGTATCTATTAAGTACCACTCGTGAAATTTCACCACTTAGTGTAACCTCCATTTGTGTCAATTACATCTTGACACTGCTGTCTCATAGTCAAGATTAATTCATCCAAAAATTCAGCCCTGATAGCCTCCTAGGCCTCCTTGATGTGCTCTTGTAACTTATCCAATGAGACCTTGGGTTCAGGATATTGCTCCTGAAGCCAATTCTTTATCTTTTTCCAAACAATCTCTATTGGGTTGAGGTTAGGAGAGAATGAGGGCCAAGATACTACAGTAATTCTTCATTCCTCAAGATCTTCAAGTGTAGACCAGGCTGAATGGCCTGGAGCATTGTCTTGCATGAAGTCAAGACCCTTAAATCCTTGGATTTGCATGGCTAAAAGTCATAAATAACCATTAATCATGAGTATTATATGGGCCTGGTAGGTGTATTGATTGATAAAGCCTCAATCCTTCTCCCAAAATATACCCAGGCCTAGAATGTTTGAATGGAAGCAGCCCCAGAACATCTACCTAGATTTTCACTGCTCCTAGATTAAAAGGTAGTCAGGTTCAAGCTCTTCTCCAGGCCTCCTTGTGACCTAGATCTTCCAAAAGTTCCCAGCCATAACCCAAGTTTCATCACTCTACAGAATGGTCCTCCATTCCTTTTCAGTCTAGTGTATGTAGGCTTAAGCCTATTCAAGCCAGAGTTGCTAGTTTTTTGCTAAGAGGGAAGGCTTCTTAAGTGCAAAACAGCACTAGTAACCATGTCTCCTCAGTGTAGTTTTGACTAACTCTGTACCAACCTCTCTATCTGGCCAAAGCTCCTCAGCCAGCTAAAGATAAGTCATTCTTTAGGCTTTTGCAGAGCTTCTTACAAGCTCTTTAACTCAATTAGCCTCATCTTTTGATAGCCTGAGGGCCCTGCCAGCCCAGAAGTGCTAGGGTGTTGCCTAGTGCTTCTTACAGGTATACTGGACTGCTCACAGCATATGTCCAAGGTGTTGCACAATAGCCTCATAGATGAAGCCTTTTTTCCAGAGGACCAGGATGCACAGGTGCTGATCCCAGGTCAATCAGCTGCAGGGAGCCAGTGGAGGAGTGGAGGGAGGTGGTAGAGGCATAGCAGGAGCCAGTGGCCTTGGTGGAGCTGTAGATCCATCCATGGCTGGATGATAGGTGCAGTGGTGGGTCAAATGGATCACATCATGAGCTTTATAAATGGTGGTGAACATGCTGGCTTGACACAAAAGTAACACGATCAGTTGGCAAAAGAGCGGTGTGAATGACTTCAGTTGTACAAGACCTACTATGCCAAGAAGTTAGCCGACAAGTAAAGATTTAACGAAATTTCACCCATATACCGTAGTACGTACTCCGATAGCTTGGGACCGCACCCTGCCGCACAACCCAGCTATTTTACCTTAACAGGCTTAGCTCTCAGTACCTAGGGACCTCAAGACATCCTTGCTTGGAGGGTACTTCTTCTGGTCAACAAAACAAACCGCATACACTCTCTTCTACCAGAATTGATATGATGTACACAGACCTTAAGGGATATATCTTGCTACAAAGACCGCTAAATGCACATATTCAATATATTTAGTTTCTAGCCTGTAAAGAGCTCATTATCCCGCCCTTCTGTCCTACTAGACGTGTTTGAAACCTCACGTTCTTCCGCCTCATCAACCATGGCAGAACCCTTTGCGCAACCGTCTTACAACGCCCGGTCCCGATACCAGCAGCCACACTTAAAGTCACTGGAATCAGAGAATGAAGTGATATGGACAGCCACTCGGTGTAATCGACTTTTGCGGCCCCTTTCGTCACGGCTGCTTCTGTTGCGGAAGTCATGCGCCAAAGCTGGACCGAAAGACATGACCGCCGATTTTGACGACAGTTACCTCTATCCAAGAAATGTTGCCTTCCAAAATAAATATCGGTTGAGTAAGCATACAAAGGCAACGTATAATGAAGATCCGGAGTGGATCCCGATTCAGAAATCAAAGCGCAAGATTAGGCAACAATATACTGGGCGTAGGACGCGACTCCAAAGTGAAGGCGAGGCAAAGGATTGCAAATCTCCGAGATCGACATTGCCTCCAGGAGAAGTCATTGTGCCTACTCCGGCAATCGCTAGAAATCTGTCAATAATACAGGAGCCTGCACAAAAAGATGTATCACCGAAAATAAGCAATCCTAGAGATACGAACCTTGCCACCCCAACAAGAACGAGGTTGCAAGGGAAAGGAAATACTATTTTCTCAAATGGGGCGCCAATAAAACAACTCATTCACGGTTCCAATGACACGCTCGAGCCGCAGAAAAGAAGTTTGGTAAATGGGATCTACGCTGCCCTCGACTGCCTTCTGCGATCAACAATGGGGTGCCGAGGTGCTCAAATTGAAGGAGCCCCTACTCTCTTGTTGATGTGTCTCAGAAAGGTTCCAGACTATGTGATTGAAGAAGAGATTTGGCTGCGAGAATCGGATAATCTTGCGGAACAACCAAATTTATCCTCCGAAGTCTACTCTGAATTGGAAGTGCTTGGAGCCTCAAATTCGGGTGGATGGACGCCACTGAGACATGTTGTCAGAGCACATGGAATTTCGATGATAAAAAGGGCAATTCTTGAAGGAACGTTGAACGACGAGGCTGTGAGGGGTCTTGTGCTAATATGTACCAGAAATCGTGCCTTCAGCGAGGCGGAAGTTCTACTCTCTACTATGCTCTCAGTATGCAGAATATTTGAAAAGCCCACGACACCCCAAAATAGGCTCTTTGATTTGAAACGCTCAGCTAGTCTCCACACTCTGGAGCTTTTCGTGAAGGCATCCGGCCGCCGAGGCTACCTCTATCGTCAGCTAGATGCTCTTTTCCGAGGTGGGCAGATACCCTTGCAGTGGCTGGCAACCGAGGATTTGCTTTCGTTGTGGAGCCAAATTCTTCAGACTTTTCCTAACTCAAACAACGGCCATAAGGAAGGCAAAGATTTGATTTTTAATGCGTTGCGGCACCTTTGCCACCTAGATAAGGATTTTCTCGGTCCACAAACGCATCAGCTCCGCCTACGATCATTGGACGCTAGGAGAAAAAAGCGAATGCGAGAGCAACCCTTTTCCTTTCTCCGAAATTCTTCTCAGTCGATAAAGTCGCCGTTGAAAAGTCGGATTTCCCTTGATCGGGACCAGGAAGGGTCACACTTTCCTCTTGAGAATACGTTCTCGAGCATTGCTGTTATTCTAACCGCTAAATCTATGCTTCATGGAAATAATAGTCATGGAGATTCAGATATGCACCTCTTCCATTGTATCTTTCTGCCTCTCCAGTCTCTGGCGCTTGACATAGAGAGAACCACCGAGCTTGGAGTGTTGAATCCTCCATTCAGGCTGTCCCACCAGCTCCACAATCGTCGAGCGTTACAAGTTGTTCTGGCAAACTATTTTGCCTCAGCGTGCTTCGACCAAAATTTGAGAGACATGCCCTCTGTAGTAACAGAGAGAAACCTTCAAGCATTACATTCGCTTTTAAGAGGAATAAGAGGCTCCATCAACGCATGTGATGGGTTCGAAAGTATTTCTAAGTTCATATGCTCTATTGCGCGCCGCTGCGGCAGAGTATACAGAGGTGATGGCTTCTGTCATCTTAAATCTCTCGTGCGCCTTCTTGTCTCGATTGCTGAAAGCAGCAGCTCCATCCATACCTTCCGCCAAGAAAAGAGATTACTTGCTGGAATAGGGCTTGATAGCGCCATGCATTTTTCGGAGCAGACTGGATCCTCTGAACATCTTCAATATGCACAAGAAATAGAGAAATTCATTATAGACAGCGATTTGGTTTGGAGTGAAACACAGAACAGGGGAGGGACCTCAGCAGAAAGCAGTCGAACTAAGTTTCGATGGGAAGAAGGCATCTGCGAATGGATAGCAGAAACGCCGACGGCAGCCATTCGGCATAGGGCTTGCTCAAGAGCCTCGACTCCCTGCACTGCCAAATTAAAAACCACTACCTCTGATATACAGAATCCTGGAGGCGATGCTAAGAAACACAACAAGTATTCTATCAAGGATCGAGGTCCACAGATTCTCATAGTTGAAAGTGGCTTAGGTCGTCATGGAAGGGAGGAAGGGAACTCCCTGGTCCAATACCCTGTCAACTTTCCGAACAGGTATATATCGGAGAGAGGAAACTCAGACATCATGCAGCGCGTCCCTTCAATCTTAGATGGACAGGTAAAACGCCGACTCTATGAAGCCTCTCTACCATCCAGGGACTTTCGTTGCAAGCGACGTCGGCTGAACTCTTGGAGTCGCGCTGACAATGTCAACATGGTGTCTGAACTCTATTCAAACTCATCGAACCTGCACAAGGATCGACCCATATGCGAGCATTCAGATGAAGACGAGCTGGCGACTGGTGAGTCGGAGGTTCGGATTAGACCAACGATATCATCAGGGGCCCTCAAGGAAATTGGCAATGTACAGTGCTATAGCCCCTCAACCTCTTCCGCACCGCGATCCAGGTACTGGGCACAGCGCCAGATGCGCAAGGTCATGAGACAATTAAATACTGGCATAAACGGAGATGGAGCGAATTCGGCTGAGAGCGAGGATGAGTTATGCCAGTCGGCGTGACTTTTGGATGAAAGGCTTTGCGCCTTTGAATCTCCTATGTCGAATCCGAAGACTGGTCGGCGCTCGTTGAATCAAATAGCACGGACGATCTTTTCTTCGCGTGATGCGAACTGGTTTAAGGGTGCTTTCTCATAAAATTTCTATCCCGATGTGTCCAAAAAACGTTGCAAGAAATATGCTTTTAGGAGCAGAAGGAAATTGGGTAACATTCAGACTAGAAGTTCGTCTCATGGACTATGGCGACGAAGTAAAATCCCTTCCAGATTTGGTCAATTGCGATTGGGACAAAAAATGGTTTTACGCCTGGAACCTTTGAGGGATTTTATGAGGTAAATGCTTCCAAATTATACTAACGATACTTCCCCGAAATTTGGATGATCTACAATTTAAATAATGTAGTCGCGAAAATAAGAATCCGCGGGAATCGAAATCAGTCAGATTAAGACGACGATAAGCTGCCAAAGGAGAAGGGAGAACGAGCTACTGCCCCCGTCAGAGATGCAAATGACATAAGATAGAAACCTAAGGTAGGTAGGTACGCTATGGGGGAACGTAATGTAGACACAGTTGGTTCCCAGCCATTACCCTCGCTATATTTACAGGCCATTCTCCCTCATCCTTCAGGGAATCATAATTAACCCAAGTGCGTATTTTCTATTAGTTGCCTTTGTATCTTTCCCGTACAATCCATTGACGATCAAATGTACGATGCTGTGACTAATACTACAGTTAGCCCAACATCACATCCATTGGTGAACCCGCAAGACGTAGTTGATAGGTGCATGATACTAGGAAAGTGGATCAAAGCTCTGATGTTGGTGCGAGGGTGAGCCCGGCGTGAGGAGCCACCGAGGCGCAACGGGCCAGCATTTCAGAAATTCCGTTTTATGGCTGAAACAAACTGCGTTGCAGATCTGCCGATCAAGTCACATCAGCACCAATAGAGGCGCTGTGTCACGAGATCCACCGCACCCTGAAACAACCCAACCGTTTCTAAGTCACAGTTGAATGGCTAGCTCATGCAGAGTGGAGAGACTCTTCCGCGCACCCTAAAACATTTCAATGCAGGTACTCGATTTCAGCATCCGCTATTCGGGTGCCTTCTCTGTCAAGATCGAACAACATTCTCCTCTCTTGTACTTGATAGTTCTATCAACGACCTCCGCCATTCTTTGTTGTTTTCGTCGAGAAGCACTCTCTTTATTGAGCATCTGCTGGACAGATCCAGGACATGAAAGAGAGGTTTGACAGGCTCATATCATCTCTTTGCCCTGCTTTCAACAACACTCTTTTGTCAACCGTTTACAAACGACACGCAGATCTTACGAAATTGCCTTTGGTTCATGATATCAACGAATTTGAGACTTTCGAAGCTTGGAGTATAGTTTTCTAAAGTCTTTGTTCTAGACCAGTTCCCTTCACTTCCGCTCTGCAATTCGAAATCTCTTTCTTCGCAAAGACGTGAAGAAATACTTCTCTTCTCCATTTGTGCGCTGCAGCCATGTCAACACTGCTCATACGAGGTCAAGTACTGGTACTGGTTGCCAGTATCTACTCCCTCGCTGTCAGGGCTGAAACCGCCCATGAACAATCTTCCAGCAGCAAACATAGCGTTGAAGGCAAAGATGACCCCACTATCGCTTCGCTCGAGAATCAAAGATTCACGAAATTTTTCTTTGTTGCGCTCTTGTCTGTGGTGGCAGCTATAGCGTGTTATCAGATTGCTCTCCAAGGGGTCCGATATCTTCGGACCTTGGTTTGCATGGGCACAACGTCACAACGATACTTTACAAGGCCTCACAAGTTATTTGCTTCAATGAAACAGCACATCTTCTACGCTCCTTTGTTTTCGGTTAGGCACAATCAAGAGTTCCGCCTGTCTTCCGCGATCAATTTTGGTACACTACCAACACGTTTCCAAGCCTTATTTTTACTTGGCTACTTAGGAATGAATGCTTCATTCTGCGCTGTGAGCATTGATTGGAGCAAGGACAGACAAACTGTCCTCGAAACCTTACGCAATCGGAGCGGGGTTCTGTCGATTATAAATATGCTTCCCTTGGTCCTCATGGCCGGACGCAATAACCCTTTGATATGGATCCTCGGCATATCTTTTGATACATATAATCTCCTACATCGTTGGTTTGGCCGCATTGTTGTATTGGAGGCTTTAGTACACACTCTGGCGTGGACAATATCAACAGTTGAGAAATGTGAGGTGCTTGTGTCCAGATAATCTTTTTTGGAATATAGCTGACATGTCATAAGCGGGCTGGCCGACAGTAGGCACTGCGCTGAAGCACAGTAACATGATACTTACTGGTCTTATTGTAAGATTTCCAGATTCCACAAGGCAGGCACAATTTATTGACATGCAGAAAGGGAACCGCCGCTCTTGTTGTGATCTTTCTGCAATCACCCTCAGCTGTTCGTCACGCATTCTATGAAGTATTCCTTCATTTACACATTGCTCTTGCGATCGTAGTAATAATAGCGGTTTGGGCCCACTTGCATCGTTGTCCTCGAGAACGGCAGGTCTTAGTCGGCGTAATAGCAGCATGGGGATTTGAAGTACAGTTTCCTGAGCTTATATGCCTACTTCAGACATTTATGGCTAACCTTTTTAAAGCGCACTATGCGATTGGTCTCACTTGTTTACCGAAATTTTGGACAATCGAAAACGACGGCTATGGTGGAGACATTGCCTGGAGATGCTCTTCGAATCACGGTAAAATTGGCACGCCCCTTCAGCATCGTTACTGGTCATTATGTTTATTTATATATGCCCACGGTGGCCTGGTGGACATCTCATCCATTTTCGGTAGCTTGGAGCGAAGAGCAACTGGATGAGGAGGACTCTATACAAAAAGATGAACCGATACTACAGCGCAATAGCCTCGAGCCGCGCAGTTCCTACATATCCTTGATCGTACGCCGACGAACGGGTTTCACAGACAAGCTCTTCCAAAGAGCTGAGGCTGGTGTGCATGGCCGGATTCATGTCAACGCATTGATTGAAGGCCCTTACGGTAGTTTTTCTGATGGTCATTGGAAATGGTAACTCACTAACTCCAGGATAGGGCGCCAGCAAGACTTGCACTCTTATGGCACGGTCATGTTATTTGCTGGAGGCGTGGGAATCACACATCAAGTCCCTTATGTTCGCAACCTTGTCGAGGGATTCGGAAATGGAACAGTTGCTACTAGGAAGATTATTCTTGTTTGGATCATACAAAGTCCGGGTAAGTGTTTCAGCCATTCGCTTTGAGAGACTGGCCTAACCTCTTTGAAGAACACTTGGAGTGGATTCGCCCGTGGATGACGACAATACTCGGAATGCCTCGCCGACGGGAAGTCCTTCGCATTCTCTTATTCATTACCCGTCCGCGATCGACGAAGGAGATTCAGAGTCCTTCTGCAACAGTTCAAATGTTCCCGGGAAGACCGAATATTGATACGCTCCTTAGAATCGAAGTAGAGAATCAAATTGGAGCGATGGCTGTCACTGTCTGCGGAACAGGTACGCTGAGCGATGATGTTCGGCAGGCAGTTCGCTCTCGCCAATTGAAATCGAACATCGATTTCATAGAAGAATCTTTCTCCTGGTGAGAGATTGTCAGTCATGCAAAGTATACATGGACATTTGAACTTCCATGCATGCTTAGGTGCCTATCGATTGGAGAGAGCTGTTGTCTGTCACGTAACTTTGGATATTGTTCGGATATTGTTCTGCGTTCCTAGAGACGCCATAGATAGAGACATCATCGATGAAGGCCATTTGGTGCAAACATGTCTGAAAACGATATTTCTTCTTCTTCCATTTTTTCCCAATAGCTCAAGGAAAAGCACCTGGTGATATAGGATGATAGATTTTGCTCGCTCTAAGTCTGAGATGGTGTGGAATCTACAGGTAGTAAAGGGAGGCAAAGGACTGGTGTTTAGCAAGCCAATGGATGGGATTGTGCATGTCTGTTTTGTTACAATACAGAATATGAGTATAAATAGACCTTTCACTGTGCCGCGGTTTACGTACGGAGTAGGGGCGAGGCGAGTTTGAACACGCGCTAGTTCCGGTTCGCTTGAGCTCAACCTTAAGTTCTGGCGTCGCGGGAGGGCGGTAGCTCTCAAGATGCAACAAACACCGACACGGTCCAAGAAATATACAACTGTCTTTTCATCCACCACGACACCTGATCGGCTTGCCGTACAATCGAGTCTCTTGTTTAACTCATCAGAAATGGATAATTATGGTTCACGACCTCTCGTTCGGCCTGTCTCTAAGCTTCCTACATATCTACGATTTCCCCTTCTCGTCCTCTTGAACTTGACACTCTCGACCTTGCTTTATTCCTTAGCTGCCGATCATATTGCCGGAGAGCTTGCCGGTGTCAGTCGCAGCGTGAACAAATGGGGAGAAGTTATAGGCTTGATCGCATGGAGGTCGATAGAATTGGGGTGCGGATGGTTTTTTAATTTTGATGGTTAGTCCTTTGGCCCCACGACGCAATCTCTGCTCTCGTGGCCAATTACCAATACTGGTGCTGATTATGTTCTGCACAGGTGTTGACCTTGGTTGTCTGACCTTGCTCTCCCATCTACCGCCGCTTTATCTTTTGGTAGTCTTTTACTCGATCCACCCAAAAACTGTTTTCATATCAATGTGTATCGACGTGTTTACAACCTATATTTCCTTTCGCCTCCTTCGCCCTTTGTCCCTAGAGCACAACACGGCCGGCTTGGATACTACGTTCCCAAACCTTCCTATAATTGAAGATGTACCTCTCCGATTATACACGACGCTATTGGCGGCTGGGATTTACGGCGTCGCCTTTTTCTCTGCCTTTTCGACTTGGTTGCCGGTGTATTTGATCACTTACTTCGATGGTGTTCGAGATCTCACCTTCGCTCATTCTGCAACGCTTCCATTGTTAATTGCCTCATTTATTCCCGTGGGTTATTCTGCCAGAGAGTTTCTTTTCACCCCTTCTGCTGGGGCGCGAAAAGACCTGGGTGAAATCCGCAAGGAAGCTTTCAATCCTGAAACCGCCACGTTTGGGCAGACTTTGCGCCATAATTTATGGTTTTTTCCAAAGAGGACTAAGATCCTCATTGCGAGGACTGTGACCCTCATCATAATAAGTACATTTAACACGTGGTTGCAAACCTATGTGACCATTGAAGGGGTGAATGCTTCTGGCGCAGTTGGTTGGGCTGGTGTATGGGGGCTGGCAGCGATTGTTACTTCTTTGACTTTCTGGTGGGTTGGGAATGTCTAAGGTGAGGACCAGTATATTTGAGACCTTCAAGCATGATAAGCTAACATTAGAAATAGTTTTTTTCCGTTGCTTTTGGAGCGGCTGGAGGCAATTTGCCGATTTTTAATCTTTGTAGCGCTCTGTTCCCCGTATTGTGTGGAGTGTCATCTTTATCAACCAAAGGTCCCATAATACTATTGGATTTGTTGCGTTTGAAGTCTAATAATATACCCGCAATTCCTCCAGTTGTATTCCTAATGGGGCTAGCAGGCGCTCTCTATCTGCCATCAACACCTATGTCCCGAGGGAACAAATTTGGAACCAGAAATCGTCATCTTACATATTTCTAGCACTCTGGAACGACCGAGAATTGTTGTGAAACCCAAAATCAAGGGACAACTCATGTTTACTCCGTTTTCGTGACAGATTGGGGGGTCAATCCATTAACAAGCATGCTTGCTTGGACTGCTTCAGAAATTTTCCATTTCCACGAATGCGATTCAGCATTCCAAAATTCCAAAATCCTGATTCATGGTACAAAAGCGTTCCATCAAACCCTATCCTGGGCATATCATCGCCCTTATAGGATTGAGGTTCAGAATTAGCTTTGAGACGCGGCGGCGCAGCTCTTGTGAAAATTGGAACCAGCCATCTTAAGGGGTTGTAACGCAAACCGTGTGCTTGCTACGCCCATACAATACGATGCTACGGTAAACTGTGGGAACCAGTGCGAACTAGAGGAGGCAGGGGAGCGAGGGGAGGTTTTCTTATCCAAGATACCTTAGGTATTTGCGGGGCGACGCCGATATACAGACGATAAGTACCTCACTAACTTTACTCGTGAGACGCATGATAAGCTGTAAAAACAGAATATTCAAGGGCAGTATCAGCGAATATAATTAAGAATCACTTTACTTGTCGGACATCTTTCGTTTTCCCTCTATTGGAAAGCTGTGCACACTGCAATTTATGAGAACGTCTTCAACACTGTTTCGATTCGTTCTGCCTGAGAGTTTAAGTTATTCTAAGCCACGTCAACCCGGATTGAAGGATTCATGAAACAAGGTTGTCCTGAATCCTCCTGTACATTTCGGCGACCCATTTGCTCCATATAAGTTTCAGCCCAATTCTCTATGTGACAGAACCGCCTGCGCTCAGATCAAGGATGACCCAGCAAATAGAAACACAACTCCTGGCGGGGGCATATTGTGGAGAGCAACAGGGACGCCCCCGGGATTCTTCTGGCGCATCTCGCGTTCGTCGTTTTTCACTCCGACTTCTCGAATTTGACCCTCCACCGGGCATGTGGCATGCCACAGGAGAATCCCTATCGAAGGCGCCCAGCTTGGCGGATATTCGACAGGGGGATTTTGATCATAGTGGATGGAGAGATCGGGGAGAGCGTGAAAGAAGAAAAGGCTCAGTCAGTGGAGGTACCCTTTCAAAAGCTGACCTACCCAGACTCCAACAGAACAAAGCTCCAAATATAGATCCAGGCAATATTTTGGTCGAGACAGATGAATGTGAACATTTTCCACCTTTCATAGATCGAGAGGGCAGAAGCGTCCCCTTGGAGAAAATTAATCAATCACACGAAAATAAGCCCTCAACCTGCCAGCAAAGTTTCACCAGCATAACAGGTCGCCCTTCGAATGGATATTTGAAAACCACGCCCCTAGGATCGGTCTGCATTACTCAAGCAAGTCCAGAAGGAGAAGAAAGCACTAAGGCAATCAATGAAGTACCATTTAAAAGGCATACTTGGACTCAGTCAACATTGATTGGAATGAAAGCATACTGGAAATTTTTCTTGACACCTTTCGGTTTTGTTGTTACTATATACGGGCTGAATGTTGTTGCGTGGGGGGCCATGATATTCTTTCTCCTAATTAATGCTGCCCCGGCCATGTGTCATCCAAGTTGCAACGACATTAACTCGGCACGCAGAAAGTGGATAGAGATTGTTTCACAAATTTTGAACGCCCTCTTTTGCGTTACTGGTTTTGGTCTGATTCCATGGCGATTCCGCGATCTTTTTTATTTGCTCCGGTTTCGTTTTTTAAACAATCAGAGGAGTCTTTCCAAATTGGCTGGGATCCACCGAAGTTGGTTCAGGCTTCCCGGACACTGCTCGCCGAATGCGAAGCAATTTATCGATAGACCAATGCATGATATTCAGGAGTTATCAACCCCGATATCTGCCTCAAAAACTCCTTCGTCTCCGCTCACAAGCGTCCGTGCTCCATCCACGGCTGTCTGGAAGCTTGATTTTGTTATTTGGTCGTATGTCTTGAATACATTTTTTCAGGCTGCTCTGGCTGGCTGCATGTGGGGATTGAACCGATTTAATCGGCCTAGCTGGACGACTGGATTCTTAGTTTCTGGAGCTTGTATTGTTGCTGGTATGGGTGGTATGATGGTGTTTTTTGAAGGGAGAAAAATCAAGAGGGTTGAAGGTGTCGTGGCGCAGTCTGACACCAGAAGAGATATAGAGAACGGTCATAATTCCACTGAGGTCAATTCAAGTGTGAGGTCAAAGGTGAATTTCAATTCGAAGTTTGGGCACAATGGAAAGAGGTGCAGAGACTGAAAGGTTTATGAAGAGAAAAAAGCTGCTCGAACGCAACAAGCTAATAAGCTCAATCCAAAAGAAAAGACTGTATGATGGTCAAAAGGGGCGCTCTCGATGAGCTTCATCCTGCGCTGTGAGTTGCGATTGGAACGGCCAGTTGAGAGGCAATTGTCAATCAGAAGAATCTAATACGTCCCGAGCTTTGGCAGCGCAACCTTGCAATTAATATGATAGAAGCTTTCCCATGGCCCAATACTTGAGAATTTTTGAAAGTAATGCTTCTTGTTCCGTAATCTAAACGGGTTTTCAGTGCTTTCCCAAAAAATTTGTGCATAAAGTAAGCGGCATGATCTTCAATTGAGGATGCAATGAAGGATAAACCCAATATACGGAGCTGCTGGCTAAACAAATGCTAATGCCCGAGTTCTAATATTTTACTTCCCTCGCGAAAAAATGCAACAATGACTTTATCTTCTAAGAGTGGATGGGAATTTACAGCCTTCAAAGCTTAACGTATTTTCTGTCGTTTTGCCACTTTTTCTTTTGCCGCTTTTTCTCTTCTCTGGACGATAGCTTCGGCTCCAACACCGCCGAAAACGAGACCCACTCCCCACCATTGCATCCGGCTCAGGTGGTGTCCGAACCACACCACGGATAATACCATAGTTAACATTTTGCGTGTTACTGTCACTGTGACTAATAGGAGAGAGGAAAAGTTTGCCAATGTATAGACTGGAAATGCTCATGTCAGTGATAGATGATCCACAATCAACAACTAGACCGGGACAGAGAACATTGCTTCAACCAGACGTAAGCGTGAAGCTCAACAAGAAACCGACTTACAAATAAACAATTGACCAAGCGCTCCGCAAGCAGCAAACCCAAGAACATCTCTTCCAACGTTGGGATGCCTATGAATGAAAGATAAAGCTGCGGTAAATTCCCCTTGATTATTTGCCGTAGCCATGCCAACATATTCACCAAAATTTGTGTGAACAAGGTAAGGAGAAACAAGCAAATAGAGCCCTGTCAAAAGTGTACTCATGAGATTCTGTGCGCACATCATTTGTGGTCCGGAGTATGGCTTAAAATTCTGAAAGACATAGTCTTGAGTAGAGTTAGTGAGCCCATCAAAGAGGAGGTTGACGCTTAACAGTAAAAGACCCCAAGAACTGCTTCCATTATTATGCGTCTTGGATTTCTTCGACGACGAAGGGTGGTGAAGCGTGAAAATGGCAACGCCGGCTGTGACTAATGCCACAACAGCGTATTTATAGAGCGGATAACGCTTGCGGAAAATTGTGAGATGCAAGGCCATCACGGGAAGTAACTTGCATGACTTCGCAAGTATAAAAGTTATATAATCGATATGTTTAAGGCTTGCGTAGCCAAACGGAGATGCCAGCGATGACGTTATTGCCACGAGCACGAGAGGAGCAAAAATGCGCCTTGACGGAAAGACTGGAGGCACCGATAGTCCTTTCTTAGACGTAAAAAGGAGGTAAGTATAGCTGGTTAACGTCGCGAACGTCGACTGGATCGTATTCAAGAAAATCGAAAAAGTGAAGACTTCTGGCGACGCAGAATCTCCATAGGATGTGGTTGTAATTCTTTCTTGGAGAAGGGCCCACGACAGACTGCTTATTGTGAGCACAGAATTTCTGGAAGACTCAAAAGAGCAGGCGGACCCACAAAGAAATGTAAATACCACCCATACATATGAGTAATTGAGCGACACCGGCGGATTTAGGAGACTCATGGGGCTTCGAGTTTAACCCGCTCGAGGGTATATTACTTGCCATTCCGTCCTGTGCTGGGAGGGAGGTTGTGGGCTTGCGGGTATAGCCGTCGCTCGACTTCATGATGCCTATTTATTCTAATACGTATCCGATCGATGGTACCGCGCGCGCTGGGAAGTTGAGAACGAATGCAACCGAAAGGCCTTATTGCATTTGAAGTGAGCCATGCCACCTGTTCAAATTAGAGGCGAAGCCGGATAAGCTACCTTAGATAGCTGATAACTACTGGCAATCTGTCATTGCTCTGTTTGATTTGTTTGCATTGCGTTACATTCTCTACTACACCATGAGCGCAATAGCGTACACAGTATCCGTACAGGCTAAAGCAAATTATCTGGGCGGATGAAGCGCCCTACATGCTGCAGGCGTGATATTAGGGAACCCGCCAATTTTTTCAGAAAGCCGGCGACACTATTAATAGAGGCAATATGCTGTAATTGGGGGCTGACAGCCTATACTGACTAGCGTGTTTTGCGAGCACTGTATGAAATGTTTCTGTTCATGATATCTTTACGAAATACTATATGAAGGAACTTTTTTTTTTTTTTGGAAAAGGAGACTAGATTCATCCAGGCATTCAACAACTTCGAGTATGATGAGTATGAATTGACTTTTGACATTTTTGTTGAGCTAAGACGAGATTTTTTTTTTTTTTTTTTTTTTT